AAAAAAAGGATTTATATTGATGAAAAAAGCTGTCCGTATATCATTGAAATTATCAGTCTGTAAATATGAGGGTCTATACAGACGGAAAAATTTTTAAGATTTCTCAGGGTCTATACCAACGGATAAGTTTTCCATCGGAATAGATCTAAAGGTATATACCATTGGATAAAATCTTCCATCGGAATAGACCCAAGGGTCTATACAGACGGAAATTCAAGAGATTTCTCAGGGTCTATACCAACAGATAAGTCTTCCATCGAAATAGACCTAAGGGTCTATACCATCGGATAAAACCTTCCATCGGAATAGACCTAGGAGTCTATACAAACGGAATTGGCGTTGGTATAGACCCTATACTGACGAGATTTCCACCGACTGAAAGTTAGTCCGTTGGAATAGTCCTGAGGGTCTATACCAACGGAAAATGGGTCTATACAGACGGAAAAGTTCCGTCAGTATAGGTGCATCTCCTTGTAGTGGGTAGGTTGACAGTACGCATGGTATGGATTATGTTTCCATAATATTAAGCCTCACCCACTTGGTGTCCACATGTCCTCTTGCCTGTACGACCAGCGCCATCAATCATCGCCAACGTTGTGCCCTATGGGCATTCGTGTGTTGGTGCGAGGTTCCTCGTCTATTAGCAAGTGAGCGACATGTGGTAATTGGATTAATAACCTCTGGACGGTTTTCTCCAACTCTCAAACCATATAAACATTATATGGAGGAAAGCTTGGTATTGAAAAAACTCATCCTTTGTAAAGGCCGTGAGTCTTGTCCCTGAACGTGGCTTGTATTTTTAGTGGCATAGTCTCTAGTTTGGACACGATGGCATGTATGTTGGAGGAGCTTCTTGTGTTAGCCGTGGTGAGCAGGTGGAGGAAAAGACAGTCGCAGAGTCAGAATTTAAGATAAGGAAGGGCCAAGTTTGTTAACAAATTTGTGTCTAAAGTATTATTTATTTTGGTCTTTTTTAGTTGTGTTAATTTGACTTCTATGTCAAATTCGATTTGATGATTTTAAGAAACAAATATATAATATTAGAAAATTATTGTTTTTTTCTTGAAACACGTAGTGCTTGTTGAATATTTTTACCTAGATCAAAAAAATTAGTTATCATTCATTTGTTATGTAAATAATAAAGTTAATTATCATCAAATTAATGGAATAGGACAACTAAAATGTACCAAAGTGAGTAACACAATTGTAAAATTGAAAAATTGTGTTTAAAGTCAAATTTGGCTATACCCTATGAAATATATTGTACTTTGAAATTTGTTGTGATTACTAAATAATTATTAAGTTATATTTGTGGAGAAAAAGTATAGGATAAAACATATCTAAAAAAAATAGTATGTAATAAATTTTAAAACATATAAAAAGTTAGTATAGAAAATGACAAAAGTAAAACGAAACAAATTTGGCTTAGTAAAATAATTATGAGTTAGAGGTGAAATTTTAATATTTTGACAAAAACAAGGTATTGATGATTAAAATAAATATTTTAGGTTAATTTTAGGCATACAAAGGTGATTATCTAAGTAGCAGGAGAGAAGGGATGATAGGGTGGAGAAATGTTAAAAGTTTAGAGATATTTTTAGCAATTTTTTGGCAATAAAATTAGAAATTAAAAGACAGTTTTTATATTTAATAGATTTGTCATTAACTGTTATGACAATATTCTGTTTTGAATTCAAAGGATTAAGGATGATTACTTTTATAAATATTTAAAATAATTAGGTCAATAAAACAAAAGTTAAGGATGAACTTAATAAAATGAAAAATTTAGGGACTAACTTTAAAACTTTTCAAAAGACTAGGGCACCCATAGCCCTCGTTGGTCTTTTCTTGGCTCCGCCCCTCGAAAAAAGGGAAGTAGATGAAGTTAATGGGTTGTCTGGTTTTGGAAATAGTAGTTTCCCTATTTTGGTGGTGGTAGTGGCCTTAAATACCTACACCATAATGAAACCTAGGTTTTTATTATAGGGCAAATTTGGAGAAGCCCTCCAACTTTATAAAGCCTGCTATACTAACCTGAAAACCCCACTTTCTCGCCTTTTAGCAGCCATCCCTTTAACTCCTAGGATAACATGAACACCAGAACCATATAAATTTATGTACTTATATAAACGTACTATACTGTGAGCCAAGATTTTGTTATGTTATGAACCATCCGCAAGAAAAAGAAATTAAACAAGTGTAACACAATTAAACACAGTTTACCTATTGAACTAGTTTTTGTTTGAGAAATAGGGTAGAAAATCTACAAAAGGCTTTAAGGCATGCAACAAATGCCACTTTTCTTTAGGCTAATTTCACCCCCATCAAATCTGGTATTTGAAAGGGAGTAAACCAAAATGCTTGTAGGATATAATGAAGCGCCTTGTTGATTTACAAGGCAAGATCAACCATTGAACTATCCTTTGAAAAGTGACACAACATTAGTTTTTGTACAGAGATTTTTGTAGCAATCGCAATACAAAAAGAGGCTGTTTTATTTAGATAATAGTAGAGATCTGTTTCTGTGTTCAAGAGACAAAGAAAAAAAGAGATAACTCAATATTTATAAGGGCAAGATATTTGTTGGAAACATACACTTATTTTCAATTTATTGACTTAAAATATCTAAATTTTCATTTAGTTTATCCATTGGAAACTCTTCCAAAGGTCATTTGATTTGATTTGAATTCCAATTCCAAAGTTATTCACTCTTCCTCGAGAAATTTATCAAAATTCTATCTTTTAGTTCTGATGTAAATGGTTTGAATCATATAAATGTGTTTCAAACCAAAATATACTTTTCGAATTTTGATTTTATGTAAACAATTCAAATCATTTTTATACAATTCAAACCAAAATCATACTTTCTCAAATGCATTTTGAACAATTGATTCAAATCAACTTTTTGTGGTTTGAACCCAAATTCTAGAACTATTTTGAAAATTCTTAAACATTCCCCCACCATTTTCAAAATAAAACAGCCCACCAATTGTTTTGGAAATCTTATGCATACATGAAGGTATGTTACGATTTGAACCTTTCACTTAGTAAACATGTGTTTGCAAGTTAGTCAGAATTGAATGGTAGACCAATGCTTTGAACCAACATTCTAAGTGACTAATTGAGCACGTGTCACAAACAAGACTTCAAGCTTTCAAAAGAAAAATTTAGCATCCACCGACACAAAAACTGGCCATGTGTCCTATATCTTTTTCATGAGTGCTATTAGAATCAAGTCCTCAACTCTTAGAAACGGCACCACTTCCACTCACATAGATAGATCCCATCAAAAGTGCCATCGCATTAAGTAGTTTAACAAAAATCTGTTATAGGACCTATTAAAAGGGAAAAAACTCAGCCTCCTCTCTGTTTCATACAATTACCAAGTATTCTTTCACTCGATATGGTATTATTTATAAATTGAGTACTTGCAATCACATTCATATGATGTACTTTACTCATTGAACTTAAGACTTGAAATTTTTATCAAGCATTAAATCGAGGTTCCATCATATGTGACTTTTATCAATGGACTTGAGACCCATCCCTATTGATGTTATATATACTTCTTCTCTTGTTAATCCTTTTGTTAAAGGATCTGCTAAATTTTCACTCGACTTTACATAGTCTATGGTGATCACCCCATTGGCAATTAATTACCTTACATAACTATGTCTTAGACCAATATGTCTAGACTTTCCATTATGTACTTGGTTATAAGCTTTTGCTAATGTTGCCTCATTATCACAATGTGTTAAGATTGGGGAAGTTGGCTTTGGCCATAAAGGAATTTCATATAGTAAATCTTTTAACCATTCCCCTTCTTTACAAGTAGTGTTTAAGGCAATAAACTCAATTGTGGATTTATGATTTTCATGATCCATGATCCAACTGGCATCTGTCAAGCCTTCTAGTATGGAAGGATAACCATTATAGTAAATGCCATAATACATATTTTTCTTGAGATATTTCAAGACTCTATGTACTCCTTGCCGATGCAAGAAACTAGGATTACTTGTGTATCGACTAAGTTTCCAAACGACATATGCTATATTTGGTTTTGTGCAAATCATTGCATACATTAAGCATCTAATCACTCTTGAATATTCTAATTTTATAATTAGTTTTCCATCATTAAATGTTAACCTTACATTAGGATCAAAAGGTGTAGAAACAATTGCACAATCAGAAAAATTAAATTTCTTCAAGACTCTTTCTATATAATGTGATTGAGAAAGAATTAAATTATCACCATCTCTATGTATTTTATTCCCAAAATC